AATACACAATTTTAGAGTATTGGTGATTTGAAGAGTATTTTTTGTTTTGATTGATCACTTCCAAAATATAAAATCAATTATTACAAATTCTCAGCAAAACAACAAAAACTAATACCTAAATAAAGTTACAAAATATTTTATGTGAAGATTGATACGACCTTCATGCATATTTTAAATTTTAGTAACTATTTCATTTATCTAAATCTCAAAATCAATGATGTAAGAAGTAAAACTAAAATTAAGGAACTTATAGTTTTGACAAATATTTTTTCAAATGATAATAAATTTGATAAATTCACTAAAATACATTTTAATATCTAAACTATGTCTTTAAATTATTATAAAAAATCCGGCGCGTAGCGCCGGCCAACCATAATAATGAAATAAACAAAACAAAAGTTTATTAAGAACAAGTGTCAAAGCATAAATAAACTTAAAATCTCAGAAATAAAATGGTATTCCCTCCATTTCATATTAGGTGTCATTATAGAAAATTTTATCTTTTTACAAAGTACGTGTCGTTTTCGTCTTTCAATTTATTAATTTTACTGTGTAATTTTTTTATTGATTCAAATATGATTCGATGTATAAATAATTATTTTAGATATAAAATATATTAAATTAATTATTTCTGTAATTTGTGTTTTTTCTTTTTTTGAACACATCTTTAACTTTTGTTCATAAATCTAACTAAAATGAAATAGAAAGAGTAGTTAGTAGTAATTAATGATGAAAAAACTATGTTTGCAGTTACAGAGTGCTATTCAGTTTGATAACAAAAAAAAATGATGAAAAGAACTATAAGATAGACATTCAAATTTAAATCTTAATTTGTTTAAAAGACACAGAATAAAGAATAACTTGTTTATTTTGACTTTCTTACTCCGACTACCTAATACCTCTCCGACGACCCACTTGGATACCCAAATGCTCTAGCTTTTTCATTTTATCATAAATTATGGGGTTGATTAGAAAAGTAATTTGAACTACTCCACTATATAATCACTTTACATAAATAACAATATTTGTAAATTAACAGGAAAAAAAAAACAAATATACTATGTAAATTTGTAAAGATACAAAATATTTTGCCGATAATATCATTCTCATTCTCATTTACATATTTATTTATGTTTTATTAAATATTGTCAAATAGAATTACGTGTCATTGTATTTAAAGATACATTGAAATGAAGAGATAGTAAGTATAACCTGGTGATAAGGAAAAACTCTAAGATAAAATGTGGTTTCGTCAATACTGAGTTTGAGTCTTTACCTGAAATAAAGTTGTTATTTGCTTGATTAGACGAAGATCAAACTATCTTTTGAACCTCATTAGAAATCTGGGACCGGAATAACATCAGTGCTGTATCCATTTGAAGATTAACTAGGCTTTAACTCATACATCTTCATCTACATTACACAGAAGCTTCATCGGACGTCCGCTTTCGCTTCCGAACCAAAATCAAAATCAAAACCTTGTAAAAGCTTACAAAATCTTACTTCCAAAATGCTTCTAAAATATTTTCTTTAAAAGTACGTTGGAAGCTTACGATTCGTTTTTGAAATCATGCTTCCGTTTTTTAAAAAAAAACATAAAGTAATATATCAATAAAACTAGAAAATAATATTTTTTAATTTATATGAAATCAAAATTTTAATAGTAAAGAAAGAGAGAATAGAAATATACAACTATTAAAACTAGTCCTATAAATTATATTTATGAATTGAGGTTCTTATAAAAGATATATCATATATTAAAAAATATTGTGTCAATTATCTATGAAGTATTAAAATAATTAATATAATAATTTATTTAAAACTTAATTTATGTGTAATTTCACAGTTTTAATATGTAATAATTTGAAAATTATTATAAATGATTAAATGCTTTACTTTAAATCTAAACCATATAATTATTAGTCCTATTTTTTAAATCTTCTATTTTAATATATCTATGCATATGTGTTAATATACGCTTCCAACACGTATCCACTTCTTGATTTTTTTTAAATATCATAGATCCTCATGTAAAAAAGATATATATATTCTAAAAATATTTTAAATTTTTTATTTTCTATGTTTTATTAGTTAATAATGATTAATTGTAAATTTTAAGATAATTAATTGCATTTGATGAATTTTAGCTCTTTTAATATTATGAAAAATAAACTACCATAAAAGTGATGTAATAATTAAAATTGCATATATATTTTAATATGTGTGAATGCTAAAAAATATATTATTTCTCTTCCACAAAAATAAATATTCTGAAGAAATGTTTCATAGAGATAATGTTTATGTTTCTTTATATTTTTATTAAATATAATACGTTAAATTTCAAAAACATTAATCGATATATTAAATTACTATTGATATTTTTTTTTGAATTATACAAGGGTATCCTAGTACACTAAAATGGATCCATACTAGTCACGTGTTACTCATGTATTAGTTCTATGTCCTTGACGATACGAAAATATTAATTTTTAGTGGCCGAGACTCAAACCCAAATGGCTTCATCGTATTAGGGTTTTGTCCTTAAATTAATCATCGCCGAATCACTAATAGTGCTGCAAGGATTAGGTGGTGATATTTGGTGGGACAAAAGTTACGTAAATAAATTATAATGGTGTAATAAAGGTTAGGTGAATACTTTCCTTGAAGAATCCCTTATATATCCCTTCTTGTATATATTACTTGTGAAGTAATTTTGATATCTGTTATCACCAAAATTAATTTTATAAAAAAAGGATGATATGTCTACTAATAACGATGACATAGTTTAGAGTTAATTGTGACATGTACATCTACATTTAATGTTAATATATCTTCTTGGTAAGTTTTTAGAATATGGTAATAACTTATAAATTATCATTAACATAAGAATAAATAATATAACAGTAGAAATATAAATATAAGAATATTTACAAATTTTGAAATATTTTTCAAGTCTATTTTCTTATAATTTTATGATTTTTATTAATAATTTTTTTGCGGATTTTTATAAAAAATATAATTTTCTAATCCTAATACCGCTAGTTTTTTTTTTTTTTTTATACCGCTAGTTTTACTTATAACATCTATAAATAATAGAAATATTTTTTAATTTTATATTTTGATAATTATATACCTAACAATTTTTTTCTTAATTGTATAAAATATGATTTAACATATTTAACCAAAATAAAATAAAATAAAAAATCTTTCCAATATTTTAATTTTAAATATATACATATATATTATTAAATATAAATTTAAATATTTTTTTTCTATTTTGATTTTTACATATAATTACCGTAAAATTAATAATGTGACAAAATTATAAATTTAAAAATTAACTAAATTTTATTTTTAAATATAATTTTACCTTTAAAATTTTATTTATGCACATGGTGCAGGAAAACACCTAATATATATTATTTATGAAGTGATTTTGATATGTGTCCTTACCACAATCAATTTCACTAAAAAATAATGATATGTCCTAACATGGCTGAGAGTTAATTGTGACATATACATTTAATTTAATGTTAATATATATTTTTGGTAATTTTTTCTAATATGGTAATAACTCATAAATTATCTCAATATAACAATAAATAATATAATAGTAGAAATAGAAATATAACAATATTTATAAATTTAAAATATTTTCAAATCTATATTTATAATTATATAATTTTTATTAATGATTTTTTGAAAAAATTTATGCGAATTTTTATAAAAATTAGAATTTTCTAATTCCAATACAGTTAGTTTTATTTATAACATTTATCAATTATAGAAATAAATTTAATTTTAAATTTTGATAATTATATACCTAAGAAAATTTTATCTTAACTTTATACAACTGAATTGATATAGTTTAACCAAAAGAAAAAAAATATTTCCAAAATTTTAATTTTAAATATATACCTATATTATTAAATATAAATTTAATTAAAATTTGTTTATTTTATCTTAGTTTCTACATATAATTAACGTAAAATTAATAATCTAACAAAATAATAAATTTAAAATTAACAAATTTTATTTTTAAAATAATTTTATTTTTATAAATTTTATATATGCACATGGTGCAGAAAAACACATAGTACGACAATATAAGATGGTTTCAAGTTTCGCTGGAGGTTGGAAATTAGTGTGTTACTTATTTACAAAGATATATTGAGACATCAATAAAAATATTGCATCCGAAATAATATCTAGTATATAAAACTTATAAATAATATCCACTATGATTTATATGAGATATTTTATAAAATAATTCAAAAAACAAAATTATGTTGGTTTTAACATCCAACTTAAAATAGATAATATCATACTAATCAGTGGAGGAAGAATTGATATAATAAAAAAAAAAAAAAAGAAAAAAGAGTTGACATATGTTTTAAAGGAAAATAATATTTTACTCATAATAAAAATACCATGTGATTTTTTTTCTGGTTATATACGTATATAAATATTTACAAAGCAAATAAATTACAATAATTTATCAATGTATTACATTTTAAATCATTTTAAATTCAATTGTATAAAGTACAAAGTATTAATTATAATACTATTATATTATTTTTAGTTAAATGTGTTTTTTGTTTGAATATTTGGCCTGTTCGGTTATCATTTGAATACTTTGTACTTTATACAATTGAATTAAAAGTGATTAAAAATGTAGATAATATATTGGTAGATTATTATAATTTATTTGTTTTGTAAATATTTATATCTGTGTATAATCACGAAAAATCATGTATTAATTGTTTTATAACTTTTATTGAAGAAAATATTGACAACATTGTTTACTTTAACGTGTTTTTGGACCTACTGGTTGTTTAAAAACTTCTACACAATAATGTATAAAACTATAACTATACAAGAAACTAAAAAAAAATTCTTAATTCAACGAATGGTACGAAAGGCTATAGATCTGTTTACTTACGCGCGCACCCTTCTTTATTTTTCCATTGTTGTACACATAAAGTGAGTGAGAGTGCGACACAGAAAACTATTACACAGCAATGTCCATAGCATTGACATTTCTTTTTCTTCTTCTCGTTTTTGCTTCTTCTCACTCAATACCACTCGGATCTACTCTTCACGCTTCAGATCGCCACCACTCATGGCATTCTCCTAACTCTGCCTTCTCTGTATCCTTCATCCCAGCAGCAACTCCCGGCTCCTTCCTCTCAGCCATCTTGTTTTCCAACACTGTCTCTATCTGGTCACCCGGAACTGTCGATTCCGGTGGATCTCTCCGTCTCCTCCGTTCTGGCTCCCTCCGCCTCGTTAACTCCTCCGGCGCTACTGTTTGGGACTCCGGCAGCGGAAATCAAGGAGTCACTTCGGCCACTCTAGAAGATTCTGGAAACCTCGTCCTTCGGAGTCACAGAAACAAGACAGTATGGTCTTCCTTTGCTCACCCGAGCAGCGTCATCGTCCCCACGCAGCGTTTCACCGTCGGTATGTCTCTCCGGTCTGGTTCTTACTCGTTTCATCTTACGGAAGAAGGGAGTCTGAATCTTAAGTGGAACAATAGTATAGTTTACTGGAGCCAAGAGCTTAATATTCCAAACTTGAATCTCTCGTCTCCAAGTTTTGTATTGGAACGTAACGGAGTCGCCTCTATTTTCGACTCTGTGTTACTAAACGGCGTCGTGACTTCTATTCGCAGCAACGATTACGGAGAGGGAAACGATGTGTTTAGGTTTTTGAAGTTGGAGGAAGATGGAAATTTGAGAATCTATAGTGTCTCTACAGGTAGTGAGATTCAGACACAGACTTGGGTAGCTGTTGCTGACCAGTGCCAAGTGTTTGGTTTCTGTGGGAACTTTGGGATTTGTAGATACGATGGTTTTTTCCCGATATGTGAGTGTCCGTCGGAGAATTTTGTTCCAATTGATGTGAATGACATGAGAAAAGGCTGTAAGAGAAAAGTGGAGCTTGAGGATTGTCCTAGTAACTTGGGCATGCTTGATTTGAACAACACTAGGTTCTTGACATACCCACCTGAAGTGTCTGCTCAACGTTTCACTCTGGGGACAGAGGCGTGCCGTGCTATTTGTCTTGTTGATAGTTTATGTTTTGCTTCTGTTCTAATGGCGGATGGATCTGGTATTTGTTTTCAAAAGCTATCCGGTTTCGTTTCTGGTTATAAAAGCCCTTCGGTTCCTAGTACATCTTCTTTAAAGGTTTGTAAACCAGTTTTACCATACTCAACGGTGAAGAAAAGTGATGAACGGTGGTTAATCCATGCGTTAATTATAGCTCTGGCTGTTATCGCCGTGGTTTTTTGTTTGGCTGCGATAGTGGGAGTTTTATGGTGCTGCTGCTGCAGAGATAGTCTTAAGTTTGGAGCTTTGTCATCTCACCATACTTTACTTGAGTACGCGTCTAGTGCACCCCTGAGATTCTCTTACAAGGAGCTGCAGCGTTGCACCAAAGGTTTCAAGGAGAAGCTTGGTGTTGGAGGTTTCGGCACTGTGTACAAAGGCGTGCTTGTTAACAGGACCGTGGTTGCCGTGAAACGATTAGAAGGGATAGAACAAGGAGAGAAGCAGTTTAGGACAGAGGTGGCCACCATAGGAAGCACACATCACTTGAATCTGGTCAGACTGATTGGTTTCTGCTCCCAAGGACGCCATAGGCTTCTTGTCTATGAGTTCATGAAAAATGGGTCGCTTGACAACTTCCTTTTTGATACGGAGTCTGGGACATTGTTGAATTGGGAGTATCGGTTTTCTATTGCCATCGGAACCGCTAAGGCAATTCTTTATCTCCATGAGGAGTGTTCTAATTGCATTGTACACTGCGATATTAAACCGGAGAACATTCTCTTGGATGAAAACTTTAATGCCAAAGTGTCGGATTTTGGACTTGCTAAACTCATGCCAAGCGACAAGAGAAACTGGAACATGAGTTGTGTCCGAGGAACCAGGGGATATTTAGCCCCAGAATGGGTCGCAAATCTTCCAATAACTTCAAATTCTGATATCTACAGTTATGGAATGGTTCTGTTAGAGATTGTGAGCGGAAGACGGAATTTTGAAGTCTCTGAAGACACAAACTACAAGAAATTTTCAGACTGGGCGTATGAGGAATTCGACAAGGGTAATATTGAAGTAGTCTTGGACAAATCTCTTCACGGAGATGAAACAGTCGATACTGAACAAGTGACGAGGATGGTTCAGGCCAGTTTCTGGTGCATACAAAAGCACCCGTCTCATAGACCGTCTATGGGGAAAGTAGTGCAAATGCTAGAAGGAATTGTGGAGATGACCAAGCCGTTGGCTCCAACTGCTTTAGTCAGCGAATCAGTAACAGAAAATAGATAGAATAGGCGTTTTGCTTTCTTGAGCAGTGTTTCAGCGTTGGTTGCATTTAACTCAGCTTACCTTCTTGTCTTCGTCCTCACAAACTCCGGTAAGAAATGGGACTTTTTTTATTTTTGTTTTTGAATGAATGTAAGTATTCAACAAAAAAAAAAAAAAAAGATAAAAAACGTTTTACAGCTTGTGTTACGTCAGTTCAAGAGGGTTTCAGATTACCATCATTTAGATAGAACTTCGAGATCTCTTCGCATTCTTTTGTTTCTGGTTGGTTATGATGTGTATACAAATCACCTAATGAGAGGCGATGGGAAAATGCGATGAGATGATGATGCGGAAGATTATTTGAGGTCAGAAATCATGTGTTTCATCTCTAAACCTCACTTAAGAATTTCTTTAAAATTTTTTTTTATTATTATTTTTTCTCTGCTTAAAAAAAAGAAAAAAATAAAAAAACACCGATGCGGGCCGCCACATTGAAACCCGCGAACAATGTCAAAAACCCCACCGTAAGCGATCTTGAATCCACGCTTTTGGGGACTGGTTTTATTTTTTAATGGAATCCACACATTGCTTTTTGAGAGAAACCTCTTTTCGAAACTCCAATAATAATGCTGTAAATGAATATATTTGTGGAAGCACCGTGATCTAGTGGTTAAGATTTAAAAATTTCTACACCAGGTTTGGGGTTTAAATCCCACGCTACACAGTTTTTACACCAAAAGAGTTTTAATTCTCAGAAAAGGTGAATGGCGAATCATGCAAGATTATTGGAGAAAAGGATTACAAGAGATCTTCAACTTGACGCAAGGAGTACCGTCAGGAATGAATCTCATAAAGCGGGTTTATGGTGATGTAGTCAGACGTGAATCCGCATAAGACAGGTAGAATTGTCGGCTGTAATATTATCTATGTAATATTTCTCATAGTTTGTAATGAAAAATTAACCAATGTAAAAAAATGAATATATTTCTCATTAATGATCAAAATGGTGTACACGAGTCTTATATACAAGTGTAGAGCTAAGGCCATCATCAACACACAACCGCTTATGTGGAGTATTTATAATTTTTCTTTTCTTTATTTTTTTAATTTTGTCTGCTTCTTAAAAAAATTAAAAATTGAAAAATGAACGAATCACGGACCGCCACGTGTCATTGGAAAAAAAAGGAGACACTATCAATATTTATTTGGCGAAATGGAACTTTTAATACTTTTGGAAAGTTTGGACATGGTGGGAACCGAAATTCACACTTGTCGATTTCCGTTAAATAAGGAAACTTAGGAAAACCCTAATTTTCCAGAGAAACCGGATCTCAGCGAAAGCTAACGACAAGTAACCAAATAAATGCGGAAAATATGAAAAACATAATAAAACGAATTTATAAAGAAAGTCGATCTTATTTCCGATTCGCGTAAGAGCGTTGCGATCATTACAAGGAATTACAAAGGCTTTGGCCGCAGGGGCCATCAGCGAGTTACAAACATAAAACCCTAGATCTAGTTGAGTCGCAGCTCGATAACGAAAAACGGAAAAAGATAGGAAAAAAGGTNGAATTTATAAAGAAAGTCGATCTTATTTCCGATTCGCGTAAGAGCGTTGCGATCATTACAAGGAATTACAAAGGCTTTGGCCGCAGGGGCCATCAGCGAGTTACAAACATAAAACCCTAGATCTAGTTGAGTCGCAGCTCGATAACGAAAAACGGAAAAAGATAGGAAAAAAGGTTTGAATGATTTCGGACTGAACCTTGTGAAAGGCTACTTACGTACCCCTTTCGGGGATCAAGTCGAACGTAGTTCAGTTGATAGAGCTGGACAAGAGATCGAACTGCCTGGGCGAGTTCGTCTAGTAATTGAGCGCCAGTCATAGAAACCGAACTTGTCGAGAAAAAGCCTAAGTTTCTAAGTGCGGAAAATTCTAAATCTAGAAAAGTTGTGAAAGTCTCAGATGAGAGCTCTGCCTTTCGTCCCCCAGCTTCTGCCCTATGCCTCCTCCTTAGGCGGTTTTAGTCTTTCCATTTTGCTCGAAACCGAATATTTCGGGAACTTTCCATATCTGTCGATCCTTCCTTTTCTTCTGCGGAAATCTTCTATTTATCTTCAAACTTGTCTTTTATCTTTCGTCTGCGAGTAAACCGTCAAAGCGTTATCGTATCTTGGGGTTTGATTTCGTTAACGTCGCGAGATGGGTTTTTATCGTGTTTTAGGACCTTTCGGGCCGTTTTACGATAAAAACCGTTTTACGACTTTAACGAGACTGTTTCCTGATCCGATGCCGTTTCTTACGATTCTCTCGACGTTTTTTATTTAAAACGAGTTTTTTTACTATTTTAACGAGAAATCTCGAATAAATCGTATAGTTTAGGCAATGTTCGGTGTTTCGTTTAACCGTTACCGTTTTATACGATTTCCTCGAGTTCTTTCCGAGAAAGCGAAGTTTTACGGTTTTTATCGTAAAACTTGAATGATAGGTCAGATCGAGACGGAACGGGAGACGTTTTGGCCGTGGTTCAGAATGCGACCATGTCGAAAGACGTAAGTTTTGAATCGGGGATGCGGGAGATCGAGGCTCGGGATGGTCGGCTCGACGTACGGCGAGCTAGTTCAGCTTGGCTAGGTCGCCATATGGCGAACTAGGCGAAAAGAACCAGTGGGGCAATGTCAGCACCTCTTAGTTCACCCATTGGCGATCTAGCCGGGCCGGCTTAGTTCACTGATGGGCGAACTAGTCAAGATGGACTAGTTCGCCCATCGGCGAACTAAGCCCGGCCGGCTTAGTTCGCCGATGGGCGAACTAGTGGAGTGTCCCTAGTTTGCCCATCGGCGAACTAAGCCGGGCCCGGCTTAGTTCGCCGATGGGCGAACTAGTGGAGTGTCTCTAGTTTTCCCATCGGCGAACTAGTCGTGACTAGTTCGCGTTTTACGGCTGTTTCGGTTTTTTTGCGGTTTCGTAAAACGATTCTTCGAGTTTTATAAAACGTTTCTTCGAGTTTTATAAAATGATTTTCGAATTTTATAAAACGATTTTTGAGTTTTATAAAATGATTTTTCGAGTTTTATAAAATGATTCTCGAGTTTTATAAAACGATTCTTCGAGTTTTATAAAACGATTCTTCGAGTTTCATAAAACGATTCTCGAGTTTTATAAAACGATTCTTCGAGTTTTATAAAACGATTCTCGAGTTTCATAAAACGATTCTTCGAGTTTTATAAAACGATTCCTCGAGTTTTATAAAACGATTCTCGAGTTTTATAAAACGATTCTTAGAGTTTTATAAAACGATTCTCGAGTTTTATAAAACGATTCTCGAGTTTTATAAAACGATTCTCGAGTTTTATAAAACGATTCTCGAGTTTCATAAAATGATTCTCGAGTTTTATAAAACGATTCTCGAGTTTTATAA